TACTCTTAATGATCACATTCATCATGAGGAATTTGTACCTGTACATAATATGTCATGATTCCTGTTTATCCCCATTCACCTGCCCTCCCTTTTCCTTTCCTGCCTCCTTAGTTCCCCTACCCATTTGAACCACTTCTTCCTACTTCACAATATCTGTTATACAGTTTGGTCCTATTGCATTGTCTCACTCATGTGAGAAACTGAAAACATTAAAAAATAGTCTAACTTTTAAAACCAATCAATGTAACTTACCCTATCAACAGAAAGGAGAAGAAAATTCAACAATCATATCCCTTGAATTAAAACACAATTAATGAAAACCCTACTTCCATTGTTTTTTGTTTTTGTTTTTGTTTTTGTTTTTGTTTTTGTTTTTCTCCGGTACCGGGAGCCAAACTCATGACCTTGCACTTGCCAGGCAGGCGCTTTGCCGCTGAGCTAAATCCCTAGCCCCTACTTCCATTGTTAATACAGACTCTGAGGCTGGAATGCTGAAGAACTTCCTTGATTTGATGATAAAGAGCATCTAGAAAAACACCCACAGCCAGCATCAGAGCTAATGGGGAAGGACTGAATGTTCTCTATCTTAGACTGGGTACTTGCTCTCATCACTCTTATTTTATATAGTACTGAAACTTCCAGTCATTGCAATATGTTAAGAGAAGAAAGGAAAGGTCCATCTTTTAGCAAGGTGGAACAAACTGCCCCTATATGCACACAACATGATCGCATATAAAGAAAATCCCTTCTCTCCAAGTACCTCAAAGTATTAGTGAGTTCATCAAAGTCTCATAATATAAGATCACCTAGAAAACCAATTTCATTTCAGTGTATTTGTGACTCATGCTTACCACTGAATATTGTCAATATTACAACAACTTAGATGGATTCAAGGGAATTTTGTGAGTGAAAATTGCATCTCAAACCGTGTCATATGATATGATTCAATTTCTAAAGCCTTCATGAAGGGCTTTATATGGATTTGTGGTTATGAATCTTTGTGAGATAGAGGAGGAAGAAGATAACTATGGTTTTTGAAGGTCAGCAGTTGCTATCATTGTGATGGAAGTGGTCTGTACATGGATGTGGTTATATAAATATACACAGGTGTTAAAATTGAGTCAAACTGAATGCAAACGCTCTCTCTCAAAATGAATGTATACACACAGGTTGATTACTGATGAGATCTGATACATTTTAATGATGTTAATTTCCTGATTGTGATAGTGTACTTTAGTTTCTGAGGCATTACGGTGAGAAGAAAATGGAAAAGAGTACTGGGTGTCTTTATTACATCTTTGTGTGTGCTTGGGGGTCTTTTTTGTCCATATTTATTACAACAGTGCAAAGATTGTCAGTGTGGTATGAAAGGAAGATAAAGAGAACCAAGAGCATGGTGGATCCCTTCAGGTTGCCAGTATCAACAAAGACTTAGTGCAAGTGGAAATATCAGGAATGATCTTCAAATAGCAGCAGCAAGACTTCTATATGGAAAAGCATAAACATGCTGTAAGATGTTATGGAAGACCTACTACAGGAACAATATCCCAGTTCACTGATTGCAAAGTGTTATGGTTGATACACTGTGTCAACTTGAGGAGTCTAAAGGCTTGGCTAAGTGATTCAGCAGTTCTGCATCCCGGGATGAAAAGGACATGCCCTTACTGATCTGGGATGTTGTTCATTGTGTCAATTTGAGAAGCTAAAAGGCTAGCTGTGTGACTCAGCAGGGGGCCAGGGTCCTTACTTTGTACTCATTGTGAGCCTGGGCAACAGAAAGGCATGCAGATGGTGTGGGTATAGAGGACCACCACCCCCAGGGCAGGTAGGCTGCATACAATAAAAAAAAATTTAAAAAGACTGACTGCTGGTTCTTCCCAAGAGCTCCAGTCTTCACCTTCAGCTTGGTCATCTCCTGGTTTCTGGGCAGACTGTTTGGCTTCCGCCTGGGACTTTTCAGCCTTCTGGTTTAGACACTGCGGCCTTCATCATAGATTCTTCAGTATTCCGTTGCAGACCCATCAGCTTCCTGATACAGACTTACACAGACACTGCAGTGAGCTCCAGGCCTGGGGCTGGGCTCTTCAATCTCCAGCACGCAGAGACCCTCTGCACGCTTCCTCATCCAACACTGTGGCTGACCATTGTAAGCCAAACTTATAATTTCTTGTACATTTGTATATCTTGTGTTATATCTGTTTCTCTAGTAAACCCTGACTGATACAGAAGACTTTATATTCTTTAGAAAATCAGTAAAACTCAAGGCACTCCACGGATTCAATGCCATCTGTTTTAAAATCCCATGGCGTTTTGTTCCGAAAAGGAAAATTCCATCTTCAAATTCATGTGACTTCTTAAGAGACACCAAATGACCAAAACAGCTTGAAACAGAAAAATAAAGTTGAAGGTCTAATGCTTACTAATTTCAAAACATCTTGCAAGTTACACTAAACAAAATACCATAGTATTGGCATTAAGAGGGACATATAGACCAGCAGAATAAGATAAAAACACCTGGAAATAACCCCTGACATGCATGATCATGTTTGACATGGCTGTCAAAACCATTTAATTTGAAAGGACAATCTCTTCAGCAAGAAAGTGTTGGAGAAAGTAGGTATGCACATGCAAAATATTGTACTTGGTTCCTTTGGACACTATATACAATACCTGGCTCAAAATACATTAAAGTCCTAAGGAGAAAATCTCTGAATGTAAAACTCTTAGAAGAAAATAAGAGAAAGATTCATGACATGGGCATTGACAAAAATTTTGTGGATATGGCACCAAAGACATAGACAGCAACAATAAAAAACATTGACAAATAGAACTCTGGTAAACCTAAAAATTTCTGCAAAGCAAATAAAATAAGAAGAATCAACACACTGAGTGAGAGAATTAGGATAATTCTACCTTTGTGTAAGAAAAATAAATTTTTTGTGGCTCCAATTGGGGATTAATGTGGTTGAGAAAAATATAGACCCTTGTTTCCAGCCAAAGTAATGACATATATCCTTATATGTGCGTATCCATACATATGTACAGATATGCATAAAGAGAGATGAAGGAGGAGATGGATGAAGAAGAGAAACAATTATGGCATCACAAGAGAAAATATTTGTCAATCTAGATCAGAAATTGAGGGACTCACTGATAAAAGAATAATTTGATATCAGATGTATCGGGTTATTGCAGGCTGATCAGGCCCACAATCTCCCAAGCTAGTGGATGGTGAAGGTTTAAATAAGTGAGACAGTTGGAATGATTTCAGGGCTCCAGGAGGGTCTCACGCTCTTATAGCTTCCATATTCTCTGAGTTTAGCCAAAGACTTCTCTGGACAGCCCATATTTATTAGGTTTTCAAACAAGGGAGGAGGATACTCAGGAAAACGTGGGAATCTAGCAGGACCTTAGAAGAATTTTCCCAAGTAGTAAATTATGTCACTCAGGAGAACTACCTTATCTTTAGGTTGGTGTTTATTGTAGGAGTGTGGAGCCTGAAGCTGCAGTCTCCTTGCAGGTAATTGGGATTGGAGCCAAACGTCCTCAGCTGTGGCCTTATCTTGTCCTTTGAGGAGTCATAGCTTCATAGGCTACAGGCCTCAGGGTGAGCAGGGCCTCACAGAGGTTTACTTACTATGAAGCCACTCTCATCTTCAGACAAGGTGCCTGCACATCAGACAACTCACAAGTAAACACAGAAAGCCACTTGGTTAATATTAAACCCAGCTCAGAGCCACTTTGTAGTGGTCTCCAATACAGATGTGCACAAAGCACTATAAAAAGAGCAACAATATTTTGGAGATCTCAGTGCTGGGATGGGGTGGATAGAAAAAAGGAGATGGAGCTCTGGAGAATGTTTAGAGAGATAACTGGGCAGCAGCACTTGTATTCTCTTCCCACAGATGTCCAGAGAAGGGAGATCAGGGAGACTGAAGACTGGGATCTGAGACACAGACCTCTCCACATGAAGAGTACAGCTTCCTGGTGTTGACCATGGAGTGGTCAGCTCTAGAAAATGGACATGTATAAAGGAAGCCAAAGGACTTGAAGCTAGGGTGTGGGCTAGGCATGAGAATGGGTGTGGGGTGTAGGTTTATCCTGGTTGTGGATCTGGCCCTTCAGGCAATGCAGGACAAAGCAGAGTCAGCAAAGGAACTGGACATCAAAAAATGACACTATTCCTTCCCCACTCTTCTTTATGCTAAACACATCAGAATGTCAACTACATTCTTCATCGGAAGAACAGCAGCATTTGCTATGGTCAAGAGCAACTCGGCTGCTTAGAAGGATGTGAGGGCCAGGAAGCCATGTAGTTTTACCTGGGTCCCTAGCTAAAAGTTAAACAGATGTTGGGGTGCCAGGTCTGTGATGTGCAACTCAGGCAGCAGCAAGGACACTGTCCTGACCTGGTGGACGAGGTAGCATCATGAGCACAGGGAAGCGGGGAGCAGCCGGCATGCTAAAGTGAGAAAGAAGCACATTGCTCAAGCTCTCCTGCGTTAGGTATGGTGACCCCAGACCATCTGAGGGTGGTCACAAATACAGTTTCTAAGGGTCCCAATCTAGGATGCTCAGTGTAGGATTTCCTAGACAGATTGATATTAGATTCAGTGATGAGGAAAAAGGAAAATGTCATTCTGAAGGTCAAATTCTTCTGTCTGAACTAGAAGACATTGACACTGGTTCCCATGTCAAGAGCTCCCTGACCCATCATCTTCTCAGTGTGTTACCAAAAGGTATGAGGTTTTGGTGTACTCTATCCCTGGACCACTATTTTTGTGGTGGAAAAACAACACATTTGATGAAAGCCTGGTTAATGACATACTTTTAGGAAGAATAGAAGCTGGAGAGAAGGATGGAAAGAAGTAAGAAAAATCACAAGTGAACAAGGATGACTCAGAACTCACACAAGCTGTTTTTGAGACAGGAAGCGTGACATGCAGTACCCTCCCACCCTCTCCTCTTCTCCAGGACACTGTCTCTCTCCAGCCAGCCCATCACAGGTCTGGCCGTCTCTGTCCCAGCCTCCGCAGGGCGTCCTTCACGTCCTTGTTCCTCAGACTGTAGATGAGGGGGTTGAGCATGGGGATGACCTGCGTGTAGAAGATGGAGACCACCTTGCCCTGCTCTGTGGACTCCACATCCCCTGGCTGTGCATAGATGACAATGAGGGTTCCATAAAACAAGCACACAGCTGTAAGGTGAGAGCCACAGGTGGAAAAGATCTTTTGTCCTCTGGTTCCTGAGTGCATCCTGAGGACGGTCACTGTGATGTAGCCATAGGACACCAGGACTATTACTGTACAACTCACTGCAATGAAGCCACAGACACTAAACATGAGCAGTTCATTGAGAGTCGTGTCAGCACAAGCCAGCTGCAGCAGAGGGGACACGTCACAGAAGAAGTGGTTGATACGGTTGGAGCTGCAGAAGGGGAGCTGGAATGTGAGGCTGGTCTGCAGGATGGAGTTGAGGCAGCCTCCGCAGTAGGAGCCCAGAACAAGGCAGGCACACATTGTGGGGGACATGGTCATGGGGTAACGCAGGGGGCTGCAGATGGCCAAGAAGCGGTCATAGGCCATCACAGCCAGAAGTAAAACCTCTGTGGTACCGAGGAGGGACCAGAAAAACAACTGTGTTGCACAGGCTCCAAAGCTGATGACTTTAGAGGAAGAGAAGAAGTCGGCCAGGGCTCTGGGGGC